GCAGTAACTTAGAAACATTTAGCGAGCTTCATGAATTAGCAAACAGATGTTTGACTGTAAACTCTGGCAGACATTCGTCCATTTCTGGACTTTGATTGTGTTCTGTGCTTGTATTTGACGTGCTCATCCGTTTTACAGATCTGGAATAGTTGTATGTAATCTGTTCGTTTTACGGCTTTTAAGCAGGTGCGCTTCGATATCGAAGGAAACACACCTAAATAGTAGCGTTTTACTGCGTGGCGAAGTGGTCAAGCCGTTTGACTCGCGATCTCAAAGTCGTGGGTTCGTTTCACAGCTGCGACCTTCAGTTCATGAGTGCTGTATTTACACAGATCATGGGGATTGTCGCTGTTCGTAGGAAGATCGTGCTTTGTATAGCGCTTTCGGCAGGCGGGTAGCCCTTTTACGGAGAGAGACCGAGCCGGGTTTTTTCGTATTATCTTATCCCAGATGACGTCACAGGACAGTCCAACATTTTCGGGGGTGTTAAATCTGGGTTTTCCAGCTTTCTGATACTTTTAACGACCCCAAAATTTGTAGAACCGGCCCTAACACAAACCCACCTACGCCCCACGACAGAGTGCAGCCTAGGTCCCACGACTTATTACAGCCTAGGTCCCGCGACCTCATGCAGCCTAGGTCCCACGACCTAGGACAGTCCAAAATTTTTATGGGGTGATAAGACTAGGTTTTCCGGCTTTCTGATACTTTTAACGACCCCAAAATATGTAGAGCCGGCCTTAACACAAACCCACCTACGTCCCACGACAGAGTGCAGCCTAGGTCCCGCGACTTCACACAGCCTAGGTCCCACGACTTCATGCAGCCCAGGTCCCGCGACTTCATGCAGCCCGGGTCCCACGACTTCATACAGCCTAGGTATCACGACTTCATGCAGCCTAGGTATCACGACTTCATACAGCCTAGGTATCACGACTTCATACAGCCTAGGTATCACGACTTCATGCAGCCTAGGTATCACGACTTCATACAGCCTAGGTATCACGACTTCATGCAGCCTAGGTATCACGACTTCATACAGCCTAGGTATCACGACTTCATACAGCCTAGGTATCACGACTTCCAGCCTAGGTTTCACGACTTCATACAGCCTAGGTACACGACTTCATGCAGCCTAGGTATCACGACTTCATACAGCCTAGGTATCACGACTTCATACAGCCTAGGTATCACGACTTCATACAGCCTAGGTATCACGACTTCATACAGCCTAGGTATCACGACTTCATACAGCCTAGGTATCACGACTTCATACAGCCTAGGTATCACGACTTCATGCAGCCTAGGTATCACGACTTCATACAGCCTAGGTATCACGACTTCATGCAGCCTAGGTTACACGAATTTATACAGCCTAGGTCCCACGACTTCATTCCGCCTAGGTCCCACGACTTCATACAGCCTAGGTCCTACGACTTCATGCAGCCTAGGTCCTACGACTTCATGCAGCCTATGTCCCGTGACTTAATACAGCCTAGGTCCCACGACTTCATACAGCCTAGGTCCCACGACTTCATACAGCCTAGGTCCTACGACTTCGTACAGCCTAGGTTTTACGACTTCATACAGCCTAGGTTTTACGATTCATACAGCCTAGGTTTTACGACCTTATGCAGCCATTGTCCCACGACTTCATGCAGCCTATGTCCCGTGACTTAATACAGCCTAGGTCCCACGACTTCATACAGCCTAGGTCCCACGACTTCGTACAGCCTAGGTTTTACGATTCATACAGCCTAGGTTTTACTAATTTATACAGTCTAGGTTTTACGACCTTATGCAGCCATTGTCCCACGACTTCATACAGCCTATGTTTTACGATTCATACAGCCTAGGTCCCACGACTTCATACAGCCTAGGTTTTACGATTCATACAGCCTAGGTTTTACTAATTTATACAGTCTAGGTTTTACGACCTTATGCAGCCATTGTCCCACGACTTCATACAGCCTATGTTTTACGACTTTATACAGCCTAGGTTTTACGACTTCGTACAGCCTAGGTTTTACTACTTCATACTGCTAGGTTTTACAATTCATACAGCCTAGTTTTTACGACTTCATACTGCCTAGGTTTTACAATTCATACAGCCTAGTTTTTACGACTTCATACTGCCTATGTTTTACAATTCATACAGCCTAGTTTTTACGACTTCATACTGCCTAGGTTTTACAATTCATACAGCCTAGTTTTTACGACTTAATACTGCCTAGGTTTTACGACTTATATACAGCCTAGGTCCCACGACTTCATACAGGCTAGGTCCAACGACTTCATGCAGCCTAGTTCCCATGACTTCATACAGCCTAGGTCCCACGACTTCATACAGCCTAGATCCCACAACTTTATACAGCCTAGGTCCTAAGACTTCATACAGCCTAGGTTTAAGGACTTCATACAACCTAGGTCCCAACGACTTCATACAGCCTAGCTCCCACGACTTTATACAGCGTAGGTACTAAGACTTCATACAGCCTAGGCCCCACGACTTCAAGCAGCCTAGGTTTCACGACTGCAAGCAGTCTAGGTCCCACGACTTCATACAGCCCAGGTCCCACGACTTCATACAGCCTAGGTCCCACGACTTCATACAGCCTAGGTCAAACGACTTCATACAGCCTAGGTTTCACGACTTCATACAGCCTAGGTCCCACGACTTTATAAAGCCTAGGTTTCACGACATCATACAGCCTAGGTCCCACGACTTCATACAGCCTAGGTCCCGTGACTTCATACAGCCTAGGTTTCACGACTTCATGCAGCCTAGGTTCCACGAGTTCATACAGCCTAGATTTCACAACTTCATACAGCCTAGGTTTCACGACATCATGCAGCCTAGGTTTCACGACATCATGCAGCCTATTTACCACCCTCTGAAATATTAGACTTTACTTAGTCATTGGAATGATAAAGGACATGAGCACTGACTTTACCCTCTTCGGGCTCCTACCTAAGAGGCCTGACACACTGAGGAGATCATCATATCTCAATTTCGATGGCAGACCAACATGAACGTAACGCTTCCTTCACACAGTAGGCTAAGTCTTTAAAAAAAAAAAGTCTTATCTAGATGCATTTGTTTTTTTAAATTATTTAATGTGGCAACAACCAAAAAAGAATACGAAATATACAGTATAACTATTTTTAAGTTCGATGGTTTCTGGTACAGATAGATGGTAGAATAGATGGTTTCTGGAACAGATAAGTGGTAGAGGAGATGGTTTCTGGTACAGATAGGTGGTAGAGGAGATGGTTTCTGGAACAGATAGATGGTAGAGGAAATGGTTTCTGGTACAGATAGGTGGTAGAGGAGATGGTTTCTGGAACAGATAGGTGGTAGAGGAGATGGTTTCTGGTACAGATAGGTGGTAGAGGAGATGGTTTCTGGTACAGATAGGTGGTAGAGGAGATGGTTTCTGGAACAGATAGGTGGTAGAGGAGATGGTTTCTGGAACAGGTAGGTGGTAGAGGAGATGGTTTCTGGTACAGATAGGTGTTAGAGGAGACGGTTTCTGGAACAGGTAGGTGGTGGAGGAGATGGTTTCTGGTACATATAGGTGGTAGAGGAGATGGTTTCTGGAACAGATAGGTGGTAGAGGAGACGGTTTCTGGAACAGATAGGTGGTAGAGGAGATGGTTTCTGGTACAGATAGGTGGTAGAGGAGATGGTTTCTGGAACATGTAGGTGGTAGAGGAGATGGTTTCTGGTACAGATAGGTGGTAGAGGAGATGGTTTCTGGAACAGATAGGTGGTAGAGGAGATGGTTTATGGAACAGGTAGGTGGTGGAGGAGATGGTTTCTAGTACAGATAGGTGGTAGAGGATATGGTTTCTGGAACAGATAGGTGGTAGAGGAGATGGTTTCTGGTACAGATAGGTGGTAGAGGAGATGGTTTCTGGAACAGGTAGGTGGTGGAGGAGATGGTTTCTGGAACAGGTAGGTGGTAGAGGAGATGGTTTCTGGTACAGATAGGTGGTAGAGGAGATGGTTTCTGGAACAGGTAGGTGGTGGAGGAGATGGTTTCTGGTACAGATAGGTGGTAGAGGAGATGGTTTCTGGAACAGATGGGTGGTAGAGGAGATGGTTTCTGGTACAGATAGGTGGTAGAGGAGATGGTTTCTGGAACAGGTAGGTGGTGGAGGAGATGGTTTCTGGTACAGGTAGGTGGTAGAGGAGATGGTTTTTGGAACAGATGGGTGGTAGAGGAGATGGTTTCTGGTACAGATAGGTGGTAGAGGAGATGGTTTCTGGAACAGGTAGGTGGTAGAGGAGATGGTTTCTGGTACAGATAGGTGGTAGAGGAGATGGTTTTTGGAACAGATGGGTAGTAGAGGAGATGGTTTCTGGTACAGATAGGTGGTAGAGGAGATGGTTTTTGGAACAGATGGGTGGTAGAGGAGATGGTTTCTGGAACAGGTAGGTGGTAGAGGAGATGGTTTCTAGTACAGATAGGTGGTAGAGGATATGGTTTCTGGAACAGGTAGGTGGTGGAGGAGATGGTTTCTGGTACAGATAGGTGGTAGAGGAGAATGTTTAGATGGTTTAGTCAATGGATCAACATCATGGCACAGGGGTAGTAACCTTTAAGAGCTCTGTTCTACTTCTAACTCACGCCGGAGTCCGAAGAATATTAGCTTAGTGCACGAACCCCGTAATGCCGGCGATGATCCTTAATTAGTTAATTTGTAACTACTGCCAAGGGATTTATTTACGTGCGCAGCAATACAAACGGGCGTCCGATTTTACTACCCAGACACCAGTGGAAATAACTAGAAGTCCACTTGAAATAAAATCCCAGTCCTCACCGGGACTTGAACCCAGCACCTCCAGCACTCGAAGCGGAAACTAAGTCTCGAGACCACAGCCGCATCAGCCATCAGTAGCGTAGCTTTGTTCTTTGAGATTGCTCAGATCGTAGTTTTAGCTATGCTGTACAGCTTGCGATATCAGAAATACGAACACCGTTCACATGTTTCAT